GAGATCAGGGATAACATTTTAAATATTTCTGTAACTGGTAGAAATAAAGTTAAAATCGAATTAAATTCATTCAATAGTGCCAACAAGTTAGTCGAGTCTAAAGTATTTCAGGAAAAAAATTACGAGGCTTATATACCCACTTTCTTTACATACAAAAAAGGTGTAATAAAAAGTATTGACAAGGATATCAAAGACGATGATTTATTAAACATAATTAAACCTAAATATGGAAATAATTTTAAAGTTTATGAAGTAAGGAGAATAAAACGAAAGGTAAATGGTGAGTTACTCCCGACAATGGCAGTTATTGTTACTTTTAAGGGGCAAATGATACCTAAACAGGTAGTAATAGAAAAAATTATTTACGATGTTGACATATATGTTCCACGAGTAATTCAATGCAGACAGTGCATGAGGTACGGCCACGTTAATGCACAATGTAGAGGTAAAGTTCAATGTGGAAAATGTGCCAATGAACATGAAACAAATTCATGTAATTCGCAATTGACATCATGTATTTTATGCAAAGGAAATCATGAAGAAACGGATAGGAAAAATTGTGAAGAATTTAATCGTCAAAAACAAATTAAAACATATAGGGCCACAGAAAATTTATCCTATAGTGAGGCTAATAAAAAATATGATCATAGTTACGCAACGGTGACAAAGAATGTAAATAAAAGCACTCATTACTCAGTACCAGTTAAACGCAGACGAAATTTAGAAAGTTATCCTAATTATCTCCGTTCAGGATATTCCGACGAGCATAAGGAGATTCTTTCATCTCCATCTACTAGTAGTCAACCGCATATCAAAATTATAGAAATATCCCTAACTATTCCCAATCAACAATGAGCTCAAATTTAAATAAAAACTGTAAAATAAACTCTGTTTGTGATATGATTATAAGCACTTTTAAAAATGTATTAAAGAATAATTCAATAACTTTAGACAATATAAAAATATTTGACGATTTTAAAAATAATTTAAGTCGTATTCTCGCAGATAATGAATAAGTTCAAAATTGTACAGTGGAACGCTAGGTCCATTGTACACAATAAAGGTCATTTTGAGAAATTTATTTTTGAAAATAATATTTATATAGCTATAATTAGTGAAACGTGGTTAAAAGAAAAAAACAATATTAATTTCAGTGGTTATAATATATTTCGGAGAGATAGAGATGATGGTTATGGAGGATTAGCTATTTTAACTAAAAAATACATTCAGTTCACAGGTCATCCAAATCATCATAAAATCAATCAGGTTATGAGTATGTCAAACACAGTCAAATTAAAATCAAATAAAGTTCTTAATATATATTCAGTGTATGCAAAACCAAATTTAAACGTATCAGAGAGTGAATGGAAAAAGTTTTTTTAATAGTTTAAGTACACCATTTTTGGTGGCAGGAGACTTTAATTGTCACCAGAATGCATGGGTTGCGATCAGAATGATAGGGCTGGACTTAGTCTATTAACAGCAATAGAAGACTGTGAGTATTGTTTTTTAAATAATGGGGCCGAAACTATAATACCTAGATTATAAAATAGAAATAAATCAGCTGTGGACATAACTATATGTTCTAGTGACATATCTTCCTGTTTTGATTGGAACGTAAAAAATGTAGCTCTAGGTTCTGATCACTTTCCAATAATAATTGAAAGCGATGTTGATAGTATAACAATAGTTAATGAGAGAACCCGATGGAACGTGAACAGAGCAGATTGGTCGTTATTTTCTTCGATTCTTGAAACTATTGACACCAAAGATATAAATACTGATGAAAATATTAATAACGTATATAATACATTTATCAATATAATTAATGATGCTTGTGAATTATCAATACCTAAGAAAAAAATGACGATCAATAGTAAGTTTAATAAAAATGGTGGAACCCAGAATGTGCACAAGCTATAAAGTTTCAGCAAGAAGCTTTTTAGAATTTAAACGAAATAGTACATATAAAAATTACATAAAATATCAGAAAGCAGAGGCAATTAAGAAAAAAACAATATTAAAAAGTACAAAAAACTTCTTGGCGAGAATTTTGTAATAAATTAAATAAAAATACTCCGGTCCAAGAAATTTGGAAAGAAATTAAAAAAATCAAAATACTTATAATGTCCCAAAAAATCAGGTAAAAAAAGATAATTGGACTGAAGAATTTTTAAATAAGTTAGCTCCGCCCTGGGTTTCACCAAATTTAAATGTAAACCATCCTAAAAAAGTGAATAATAATAATTCAAACTATTTGTTAAATGAATTTACTCTAAAAGAACTAGAATATAGTTTAAACTGTCATAAAAATACTGCTCCTGGCTTAGACAATGTCCATTATATTATGCTGTATTACTTACCAAGGTGTCAGAAAATAAAATTGTTAAATATAATTAATTTAATATGGATGAAAGCTGAATTTCCGGATTCATGGAAGGGTTATGTAATTATACCGATTTTAAAACCAAATAAAGATATAGACTCAGCGGATTCATATAGAGGAATTTCGTTAGGATCGTGTATTTTAAAAACATTCGAACGGATGGTAAAGAGAAGACTTGAATTATGGTTAGAGAAAAATAACAAAATTAGTGACACACAATATGGGTTTCGTAAACTAAGATCGACATCAGAAAATATAGCTAACCTTATCCTAGACATTAATATATCCTTTTCTGAACGTAAATCCCTGGTATCTCTATTCATAGATGTAGAAGGTGCGTATGATAATATCAAATTAAATATCCTCTATCAACAAATGGAGAAGATAGGAATACCCAGTGACTTGGTAAAAGAATAATAAAATTGTATTCAAATAGGAATCTACAACTTCAAATCAATAATGAACTATTGGATCCAAGAATTTTTAATGTTGGGTTACCGCAAGGAAGCATCCTTAGTCCTTTACTATATCTCATTTATACCTCAGACTTACACAAAAAAATGAATACAAGAGGAAATGTTTTACAGTTTGCTGATGATGTGTGTATATATGTACCTAAAGTTGAAATCGATCAAGGTATCAATATAATGAGTGAAATGTTTTCGACAATAGAAGAGTATTATTTTAATATAGGTCTCAGCATCTCTACAAAGAAAACCCAAGCATGTATATTCTCCAAAAAACATAGATTACCACAATCCACAGTATTCAATAACGTTAACTTTGAGGTTCAATCATCCATTAACTATTTGGGTATGGTAATAGATAGGAAAGTTATTGTGGAACGAACACATAGACCGCTTAATAACAAAAACAGAAAAAGGATTAAATGCAATAAGATCAGTGTGTCATACAAGTTGGGAGCTGATCCAAATATTACGCTTACCTTTTATAAAGCTTATATTCGTTCAATAATAGATTTTGGGTCAATTTTTTATAGTCAAGCAGCGAAGACTCATCTGAAGAAATTAGATAGGCTAGTAAATAAAATCTTAAGAATAAGTATAGGCGCACTTAAGAGTACACCCATTTCAAATTTAAACGTAGAATACAATGAACCTCCACTAAATTTCAGAAGAGATTACTTAACGGAGAAGTTTTTATTAAAAATGTATACAAAGAAAAGTCCGGTAGTCCAAAAATGCTTCGAGCTCAGTATTTACGATCTAGTCAAGGAATATTGGCAAAAAAAGCCTACAATTCCTTTTATTGAATCGTACAAATACGTAAGGATACAACTTAGTAAGGACATTTCGACTTCAAGAGAATTACCCTGTTTTAAAATAGAATTAGAACACTTGGACAGCATAAAAGTAGGATATCTTAGAGACTACTCAGAATTCCCACAATATATCCGGAATAGCATGTTCCAAGCTGACATAAAGTCTATGTTCCCTAATTACTCATATATTTTTTCGGATGCATCTAAATCAGATTTAAAGGTTACATCTGCCTTTTACGGTCCAGATCGAAAATTTAGTACAGTAGTAGATCTAAATATTAAAACCTCGATATATACCGCTGAACTAATAGCAATATTAGAAGCACTTAAATACATTAGTAATTTCTTAAGAACAAAATCTAATTACGTTATATTCAAAAAATTGAAAATATTTCTAAATATAACAATATTGGATTTAATTATGTGTTATCTGAAATTATAAACCTGGTGGGTACAATGAAATTAAGAGGATCTAATGTAATGTTTTGTTGGATAAAAGCTCATTGTGGAATATTAAATAATGAAATAGTAGACAAAATTGCTAAATATAATGAACCATCCAAAGAATCAGAATATAAATGTGTAATTGAGGATCTAAATTCCCATCTAAGGAAAAAAATGTTAAATTCATGGCAAACAATGTACAATTTGTCCAACAAAGGATTATATTATAAAGATATAAAACCAAAAATACAGTCCTCAACGTGGTTCAAAAACTCAAATTTTAATAAAGATATGATTAGAATACTATGTAGAATAATATTTAACCATGCTCTGTCTCCGTTACATAAGTTCAGAATTAATTTAGCTGAAACTCCATTTTGCGGATGTGGCGAAGAAGGCTCAATTGAGCATTTAGTTTTTAAATTGCTCATTAAATACACGATGTATAAACCAATTTATAATAAAAATGTACGAGTATATAATAAGGAAAAAATTCTTATTAAAAGACCTTTTAATTTATCAGATTTAATAAAAACCAATAACTTGCATATTTATGAAATAATTTTTCGCCACGTACGTGAAATGAAATTGAATTTCGAAATGTATTATTGTAACAGTGTATATATCTCAAACATAAAAAGTTAGTTATATAAGTCCTTTGTTTTAACCCAGTTGTTAACCTTTCTATCCGTGGTCTAATTTTGGTGTTGTGCAAATCGCCTTGATAGACCCCTAGACGTATGTAATAAATCAGCAAAACCATATAAGTATTTTCCTTTTCCTTCCAGTAAAAAAAAAATTTTAAAAAAAATACTAAAAAAAAAAGAAATAATAAAAAAAAATAAAAAGAAAATACTTAAAATAAAAAAAAATTAAAAAAAAAATATAATGAAAAAAAAATTAATGTAGGTACGTACTTATATGTAAGTCAATAGAAGTTAAGATTTTATTGTTACGGGTTCTCTCTATAAACAATTGTTTAAAAAATTAATTAATAACTCAAAACATAATAGGCTAATGGACTATGTCCCTAGTCAAAAAAATACAACTACACACACACCACACCACACACACACCACACACACACCACACACCAACACACACACACACACACACACACACACACACACACACATACTTTTTAGTTGTTTCTTGCATAATGGTTTTAACAAAATTCCAGTGGTCTTCCACGTTAGGTGTTTTTTTATGATTTTTCAAACTTCTTTTCTATCTCGTTTGTAATTTTATGACTATTATTCGAATACAGTCACTGTTTATTTGGTTAGTCGGTTGTTGGCGTCTAGGTAGTGTTTTATTTGGTTTGATTAAATTTCAGGATTTTGGAGTCTGTATGATTAGTATACCTTTTCTTATAATATGATAGTGCCAATAAGATTACTAGGGATAACTAGGGAATAATAATGGGTTAGTTTCCCGTTGTATGTTGCACACATAGTAATTCTATATATAATCCCTAAATTCAACGGTTTCCTAATTTCGCCATCCACACCGTACCGAAGAAGTTCTTCCCCGCCGTGGCTGCCGTTGTGGACTTTATTCATGACCCTGGATAAAAAATCCTAAGCAGGTATTAGTTTCCCGGGTCAGGAAACACTTGGAATCTGCGGCTATCGTAAAAATTGGAAATAATTAAACTTACGAAATCTTCATACATCGAGAAATTCGACAAGGTTACATTTTGTCTATAAAATTGCTCCATGTTTACTAGCACCAGCTATTTAAAATTGCATTTGAGAGACAACCCTATGAAATAAAAATTAACAACTTAATTTAATAGGGAATGCAGACGATACAGTGATTCTATCAGAAAATATTCTGTATTCCAATTCTGCTTGAGAATTCACCTACGAAGTAGGAGACAAAATCGGTATTAAAATAAACTCAAAAAAAAACCAAACATTTTTAGTACTTAGTCATAACCCACATCCAGATGCAGATCTTCCATTAAATAAAGTCCAATTTGAAAAGGTTCACAAAATTGCATATTTTGGAACTGTTCAACTATTTCAGGACAAAAATAAAGAATAGCAATGACTAAAATTACTTTTATAAAAATGAAGATATTTCTTTGCAATAATCAACTCAGTTTAGAACCAAGACAAAGAATGGTTAAGTGCTATATTTGGTCTGTACTTTTGTATGGAGTAGAAGTGTAGACAATAAAAGTATCAAGCATAAACAGAATAAAAGCATTGGAAATATCGATTTATAAGCGAATATTGAAGATACCTTGGAAATAAAAAAAACAGAGAGTTATTATAAAATAGAGAATTATTTAAGACTTTGAAACACAGAAAAAGTATAGTAAATTATCTGGGACATTATAGTGGTGAGAAATCGGTATAAAATAATACAACTTATCCATAAAGGCCAAATAGAAGAAAGCAGGTTGCTTGGTTAAAAAAACATTTGCAAATGGACTCAAATATAAAATACATGACAATAATTCAATGTGTCAGAAAATCAAGAAGCCTTCGAGGTAGTGATTGTCTTCTTCTTCTTACGGTGCCTTATCCTTAAGGACGTTGGCCATTACATTTGCCCATTTAATCTTATTGTAGCAGCCCTGAATAGTTCTATGGAGGTCATGTTCGTCCATTGCCGTAGGTTTTTAAGCCAGGAGTTGCGTCTTCTTCCTGGTTCTCTTTTGCTATTGACTTTGCTTTCGATTATAAGTTGGAGCAGTTCATACTTCTGATTTCTTATGATGTGACCAAAATATTGTGTGTTTCGTTCTTTTATTATAAGTATAAGCTCTCTTTCCTTATTCATCCTCCGCAAGACTTCCGCATTTGTCGTATGGCTCATGTAGAATATTCTGAGCATTTTACGGTAACACCAGAGTTCGAATGCTTGGATTCTTTTTTGTGTTGCTTCTGTCATTGTTCAGGCTTCAACACCATAGAGCAAGGTGAAGAAAACATAGCACTTAAGTATTCTAGTTCTCAATGAGATGCCCAGCTGGCGGTTGCATAGAACTTTTTGCATTTTGTAAAACATTGTACGTGCCTTTTCCAGGCGTATTCTTATCTCTAGTGAGTGGTCCCAGGTTTCATTAAGATTACTTCCAAGTAACGTTGTTCTTGTTACTCTTTCCAGATCTGTTCCGTCGACATTCACCTTCACCCTTCTGTTTTGGTGCTTGCTGATCACCATCGTTTTTGTCTTCTTTGTATTCAATTTCATTCCAAATTCTCTGTCGTTACTTGGCCATTAAGCGTTGTAGGGCTTCAGCATTATCTGCCAGTATGACAGTGTCATCAGCATATCGCAGGTTATTTATACATTGCCCGTTTATAATTATACCGTCCGAGGTGCCTTTCAAAGCTTTCTGAAATATCTTCTCAGAGTAAACATTGAACAGCAAAGGTGATAGGACACATCCCTGTCTTACTCCCTTCTCGATATTGATTTTTCCAGATGTTTTGCTTTTTATTCTGATTTTAGCTTTTTGTTCTTGGTAGAGGTTTGAAATGATCCTTAAGTCTTTATCGTCGATATTACATGACCTTAAAATATCTATTAGTTTATCATGTTTTACCAGGTCAAACGCCTTCTGAAAGTCTATAAAACACAAGTATACATCAGAATCGACATCTCTACATCTTTTAACTAGCACACGTATTGAAAAAAGTGCTTCTCTTGTTCCGAACCCATTCTTAAAACCAAACTGAGTTTGACCAGTGTGTTCGTCTAGTTTATTGTATACTCTATTGTGTATTACTCGTAGGAAAAGCTTCAACATATGATTCATCAGGCTAATATTCCTATGGTCTTCACATTTCTTGGAGTTTCTCTTCTTTGGTAATGGTATAAAACACCGATGTCAGCCAATCATTTGGTATTATGCCTGTTTCGTATATTTGTTAATTATATCTTCCATTACTTCGATGTGTTCGTCTAGTAATATCTTTATTATTTCAATTGGGATATTATCTTCCCCAACAGCTTTTCCGTTCTTTAACTGATTTGCGGCTTTGATAATTTCTTGCTTTGTGATATAAGGTCCAGTCGATGCCTCCTGCATGTAAATGTTCGTCCTCTCTCGGTCTTAAAACATCTCTTCCACGTATTCTCTCCATCTACCTATTTGATCTGCTATGTTCAGTAGCGAGTTTCCATGTTTATCTTCGATGAAAAACGTATGAGTTTGTTTAAATATTCCAGCGGCTTCTTTTACTTTTTAATGTAGATTGAAAGTATCATGTCTTTGTTCCAACTCTTCAATTTCTTGGCATCTTTCACTTAGCCAGGTTTATATTCTTGTGTATTTGCTTGTATGTTGTTATTTTTTTCATTTTTTCATTTTTATCTCTGTATCTTCTTCTTTCGTCAGTGATTGTCAAAGTCTGATAATTCTAATATACTATTTTAAGAATCTACGTGAATATAATGCTAATATTGAGAAAACTTAATATCTTTTGGCGCAACCTGTATTTGACTAAAAAAATGTAATATAGAAATCTAGCATTTGCTTTTATACGCTTTTATTTGGTCAAAATCTGTTTTATATCTGGTTTCAACTAATTAATTAATATTGCCTAGTTAGGGTTTTATTCTTATTAGTAAATAGATCTCAAGATATGTATCTAAAGAATCTATATAAAAACATTATCTAAATTCGTTTTATTTTAGCCAGTCCACAGATAATTTGGAAAATTGTTATATTAAAAACCATACCCAAAATATACCATGCGAAGATGGTTGGAAATACAAAGACGAAATTACAAACTCTGTTATATCTGAGGTAAGATTATAAAATATACAGTGTTATATCAAAATAAAGAACAGTAGTTAGACCTCCTTAGTGAAGTATTGGGAGACATTCGTTGGACTTTCCGAGTTTGAATTTGTATCATCCCAAGTGTCTGATGAGGCTGGGATAGGCCGAAATGATCATCACTTTATTGATACCGATAGATTCGAGCACGGGAAGTTTAACGAATTTGTCCTCATATGCCATATATTTGGCCATTTAAATCAATAAAGCGATAGCAGCTTTCGCTAAAAGATCTTAATCTTTTATATATATATATTATATTATATATATATATATATATATTTATATATATATATATATATATATATATATATATATATATATATGTATTATATATATATATTATATATAAATATATATTATATATATATATATAATATATATATATATATATATATATATATATATTGGAATAATAATTAGATATACAAGAAATTAGCATAGTAATATTATGATGTTTAATTAATAAACTTACTTAAATAGTGGTTAAAGAAATAAATTATGTCATATACTAGCAAATATTATTAAAAAATAATTATATGAGGGTATTTTTGAAAATTTAGCATTGGATTAAGTTTTTAAAAGTTTTTTATTTTATTTTATTCTACCGGGTGGTGAATCGTCAAACGGACCATAGGAAACTCAATGGTAAATTCTAAATTGTTGAATTCCTGCTTCCCTAATTATTTTACACCAAAAGTCATGGGAAACTATTTGTAGAGGACTCAAATATGTATCGAAAACAACTGTTAAAATTATTCTACGACTTAAACGTATTCCAAAATTTTGCCAAAATATAATACATTTTTCAGGCTACCCCTAAAAGTTAGGCCACACGTAATGCAAGAATATTATTACGTTTGTGTTTTATCATATTTATGTCAGATGTTTGACAATTTGAATTGTCAATTTTTTTATTTTATGATTAAATTATAAACAATGAGTTTTACTAAATACTACTACTAATGAACATTATTACTTTGTGAACAATAAATTATATTGTTTACAAATCGATCAATATAAATGTACTCAGTTGACGAAAAATCGCATAATGTTGTACTCAGGCAATAGCGCGAACCTTTTCCTGCCACTACCGGATCTTTATTTAACGTAAGATATTCTAATTCACTAAAATTTAATTCCATGTTAAGTTATACAACAATTCAATGAATTCCAATATACTGTTACTGTGATCTTTATTTCTAATAATAATATATGATAATTTATAAACATAAAACTATAACAAGTGTTATAATAAAACATGAATAAAAAATTTTTATTATTGCTTTTTTCTCCTCAACTGAATACATTTTTTAAACAACTTAATTTTTTTTTAACAATAAATCACAAAATTTTGGCCATTTAAATCATAGATAAATGTAATATAATTGATTTAAATATTGTCAAATATCAGAAACAATAATATGACAAAACGCAACACGTAATACACATTTTTTCACAGAAAATGTATTATATTTTAGCAAAATTTTGGAATACCTTTAAGTCGTAGAATAATTTTAACAGTTGTTTTCGATACATATTTGAGCCCTCTACAAATAGTTTCCCATGACTTTGGGTGTAAAATAATTAGGGAAGCAGGAATTCAACAATTTAGAATTTCCCATTGAGTTTCCTATGGACCGTTTGACGATTCACCACCCTGTATAAATAAATATATTTAAGTGAGCCTTGTGTTATAGGCAACCAAATATACACTGTCTATGACATGACGGTGTCTATTTGTGAACTAAATAAGTAACAGATGAAAAATGGAGTTAAATATTAGTTAGGAATTTTAATTTAAATATTATTACGGATGTAAAATAGTGATAATATAGTAGTTTAAGATATTTAGTTTATATATATATATATATATATATATATATATATATATATATATATATATATATATATATATATAATAGTGAATTCTGATCTAAAAAGCCTAAATATCCATAAGTTTCTTACTAGAATTTTCTGATAAACGTCAATACACAAGACAGTTAATCCTATTTGCATAGTAGATGATTCCAGAACTTTCATCTATGGATGAGATGAAACGTTTTAGAACATGAATTTTTTCCCGATCATTCTGGAACCATGAAAAGATATATCAACGATGTAATTTGGAGTAAGAGGGGATTATTAAGTAAGTTTCAGTTGACTCGTGAAGTTAGTAAAGTTAGAAGAAAGCATTAAGTTACAGGAAGTCATTAAGTTACAGTCAATTATTCAGCTACAGTCAATTATTAAGTGAGTTACTTAGAAGAATTTAAGAATTAAGTTACATTAAGTAAGTCAGTCAGTTACAATTGATTAAGTGAGAAGAATTCATGAAGTGATTAAGTTAAATTAAGTTAGAAAAAAGGATTAAGTGAGAAGGTACAGTCAGGTATAATTAAGTCATTAAATTAGATTTATCAAGAAAGTTAGTTCAATACAGTTATAATTAAATTAAATAAGAAGAAAGGATTATCTTGGAAGAACTCATTAAGTCAGATACAGTTGGAGAGTAAATTAATTCAACAATATAGACATTTTCATACAGGAGTATAATATATTATATGGAGATTACAAGAATTTTAAATTATAATATCTATATGCAATTTCACAAATACAAGGATAACCGAAGCTGATTAAGAAGATATTTAGTGGTGATTATAACTTTGATTTTGGGAAAACTTTAGACGCTCAATGACAGAAAGGTACCAAATTTTGTTAAAGTAATTTAATAATTGTAAGAATTTCAAATTTAAAATAGGTTGTTTTAAATTTATATTGTTTATATTAGATATAGGTATATATCTGTTAGCGAGAACCGCGATAAAAACCCTATACTCATACATTTTCTTTTAAACACTCATTGCTCATATACAATCAAAACATCATAACACTATATATATATATATATATATATATATATAATATATATATATATATATATATATATATTATACATATATATATATTTACATATACATAATAGAAACCATCTTTACAAGTTATTCACAAGAATAGACTGAAAACAAAATAGGATTTTTATCAACCTAGGAAACAAGCTGGTTTTAAGAAAAACTGTTACACTAATGACCACCTCCACCGCATAAAAGAAATTTTAGTCAAAGCCATCGTACAACCGTTCATTGGTCTTGGCTTTTTTAGACTTTCGCAAAATATTTGATATCATAGAAATTAGCAGCGTAGTGAGAGCAGCGTTGAAGGAGAGTCGTATAGATTATCAATACTTCAATCTAATCGAATCCGGAGACACGTTGTCTCCCTATCTCTTAACGACAGTTTTAGAATATATTTTAAATCAATTGGAATGGGACGCAAGAAGAATCAATGTCGACAGTACAATGCTCTCCCACCAACGATTTGCGGATGACATAGTTCTAATAACAAAAAACTTCAAAGAGATTGGAACGTTTCTTACTGAGTTAGATGATGACTGTAAGGAAGTCGGTTTGAACATAAACTTTGGAAAAAACACAACACATGACAAATCTGGTACCAAGTAAAAATCCTGAAGTCGGCTGCAACGAATTAACATTAGTTCGTAAGTATAAATACTAAGGCAATGACATATAAATTGCCATTGACGACCACGCTGTTAAACTATAAAAAAGGATCACTTTAACATAGGCCACATACGCAACTCTATGAGATAATTCGATAAAGCAGTTCGCCCAATGTCTGCTTCCATTTAGCAGTTATTATGACTTTCCCAAACATTTTTCTTAACCTGGCATCCGACAGGTGAAATTTTGTAACGCTGTTCGAAACGTGTGGTATGACAAACTTCAAGTTGAAAATATACTCCTTCTTAGATCTCGTAGATTTTCATAATAATATGTAATATTATAACTTCAGGACACATTACGGCAATAAATTCCAGAAGAACATTTGCTATTAGTTCACTATTGAACGTATAGCCAATTATATGAAATAACAAATTTTTTTTGTTTGATAAAAAATGCGTCTTAGGATCGAAGAATCAATACATTTTTATCGAAATGAATAGTATAAAAAATAAAAACTACAATAGAAAGAGTATCCAGCTTATCAAAGAAATATAATCAAATTTTACAGATTAATTATTGAGTTATCAGTTCATAAAGTTGGAAAAATTTTCGCAGTATGTCACAAAGTGTTCTATACACAAAGAAAATTCGCATCCTTTACACACGTACCCAGTTTTCCTTTCTATTATTTCTCTATCGCTGATTAGGTTTCCTCTTCTTTGCAGGCGGTTCGGAATTTTCACCTAAAATCTTTCGGATATTGCTCTCGACTTTCTAGATAATCTAGGGTTACTTTCTAGTTCTTTCTCTTTGATAGTCTTCGATCAATTCGGATGTTTTTGTCTATGAATGATCTGGCCATTGATTCCTGTAGTGACCATTAGAGAGAAAAAAATGCCAAGCCAGCGACGACTGTTGCGTGCTACATTACGCGTTGCAGAGAGCTCTTCTACGACGTCAACTCCGCCTTTGGTCGAATTATAAAAGGAAATAATATCAGGCAGCTTATTACTATTGTAACATGGTGGAGATAATAATAATATATAAGTAAAACAACTTTTCTTTTCTTTTGGTACATACAAAATAATAGTGTATCCGTTCTGAAAACCAAATATACTGGAAAAACGTCTTGTAGGAATCCCTTGTAGGAATTCTATAGGCAAATCAAGCCTATTTTTCCTGATAGTACCTACTGCAGATAAATTATAGTTTCACTTAACTTCACCGAAAGATTACGACTAGTGTACCATTTATCAAACATTATATTACGTTATACACGGGACCAACCAATCTTTCTACAATATTTTTTGGGTAATTGCTAACTTGGAATGGATCTTCCGGGTGTTGTCTCACATACACCTTCATATTGAGTAGGTGGTTGGTACGTTCGTCAACTAGGATGTACCTTGATTGCATATTTCGATAGCTTATTTGTCATATATT